TTAAGTCAAAATGTCTATACTTCAGCTGTCAAGCAGGTTAGGAATTAGGGAACATATTTCTTTCTCATAAGTGAGTCATTCCTAAATATATAACATGTTCTTAACCTGTATCCTTCATGAAGTGATTCATGAAATGTTTCTCTTGTCACAGGTTTGAAGTCAGAATGTGCTAGCTAATAGTTTCAGTGGCCTCCCAGAGATGGGGGCAGATTATGGATGAAAAAATAAAGGGCAAGGTGCGTGAATCAAAGGACAAAAGCTCCGGAAGACCCAGGTTTAAGCCCCAACCTAGGCATAGACTCATAATTTTAGAAAGAAAACACACACACACAAAACAAAAAACAAACAAACAAAAAAAAACATTTCACTGCTTTTCAAAGCATTGGGAAGAAGAGAAGAGAGTTCTCAGCTTCTCTAAAGTCTTATTTTAAACTGGATTTCCTTAACCCTACATGCATCAAACAAAGGACACCGAAAGACATCAAGAATTGGGCTGGTTATGGCAGGGACTGAAAGGCAGAACAAATGGGCTGTGGTTTAAGAGTCAGGCAGATATAAGCACACATAGTGAGGACTGAAGTGCTGGCAGAAATGCCAGAAGTGAGCAGTCAAAGGCTAATGCTATGATCAGGGAGTGGGAGCTGGCAGGATGGAGCAGAACAGGCAGGCCCAGGCAAGCAGATCAGACACATGCCAACTGCCTTAGGAAGACATTGATACCTAAGGCAGGCCTTGGTCAAATCCCATCCTTTGTGTTTCCCTTTAAGAGAAGGAATGAAGGAAACATAATTTACATATAACTGTAAGGTGCCAAGGGCGATACTAGGTACTTCCACAACTGCTAGCTCTTTGATTCCACGCTGCTTTTGAAGAAACTGAGGTTCAGAGAATGTTAGTAACCTGCCCGAGGTACAGGAGACATAAAGAAATTGAAAGCTCTGGTGATGAGCCCTCTGGCTGACAGTGAATTCTGCCTCTTTTTGCAAAACTTTTCTGTTTGGGGAGTTGAAAAAGTTGCTGGATGCTATTTAAAATGAAATATCTATTGTTAACCAGGTTTTCAAGTACAGAAGTCCTGTCAGGGTGTGAGCTAAGTGGGGACTGAGGAAGGCTGGGACCTAGCAATGAGATGCATTTCATACTGGAACAGGTGCTCAGAGCCAGACTAAGCCCTACAAGATATGAGCGTAAACAGTTCAAGCGATTAAAACAAAGAATGGAGAGAAAAATACTGCTGGTCAGGTACATGCAGCAGCCCAGGCAGGCAGATGCTCAACCACCTTGGGCAGCAGGCTTTTGGGCTCTCATGTCAGAAAGTCCAGAGCCTGTAAGCATATGGAACCACGGAGAATGATAGAAGGTTTTAAGGCAGATGTCTGGGTGCCTAACTTGGAAGTAGCATTCAGGAGTAGGCAAAATCCCATCTGAATGGGACAGAATATGGCTGTTCCCTACCCATTAATTAACAAATCAATAAAGATTTATTCTACCCCAGGGTTACATCAGTGAACAGACAGACAAAGATGCCTACCTTCAAAGAATTTACTTTCCATAGAAAAAGAAACCAGAACAAGGCAATAGGATAACTTCATATATATATATATATATATATATATATATATATATATATATATATTAGTTGATTTCATAGAGGAAGGGAGAGAGAGGGAAACATCAATGATGAGAGAGAACCATTGATCAGCTGCCTCCTATATGTCCCTACTAGGGATCGAGCCCACAACCCAGGCATGTGCCCGACCTCCTGGTTCATAGGTTGATGCTCAACCACTGAACCACACTGGTCAGGTGCAGGAACATAATTTCAAAATCAGATACTAGTAGTAAATTGAGATCATCAGAGAGTTTGACTCGATTCTCTTTGCCAAACTATCAGGCTATAACTTACAAAGTTTCTTCTTAATAGGGACACATTTAATCTCAAAATCCAGAGTGACACTGAGCCTGCAATGTGTCCAGCTTGGAGGATAGGACAGCAGGAAAGTTACTACTAATATTGGAGAATATATTAAAAGGAAATTATCTTGGAAAAATATGACCCTCTCATACACATAACTTATTCATATCTACCTGATTGCTTGTAGAATAAGTTTAGCAATTTTGAGAAAACTCATAGTCACAACAGCCCTAAACTTTCACCAAGAGCTGTAATGATTGATATTAATTTTGCAGAGGGGTTAACCAAGATGTTTGACACTAAAATCATTCACTGAAATTAGTTTGAAAATACTAGGTTAAGTAAACTCATTTAAATTAACTAATATATTCAAAGTAGATAGCTAGCATAAAGTGAGAAAATATTATTGTTCTTCAGTCTTTTGTCTAGCCAAAGGAGGACATTTCAAATTAAATTAAAATATCTGAGAAGGAAGATATATGATTGACTCTCCTTGCGTTTAAAAAAATACATCTCCCATTCTAACCTTATAGACTCATAAAATAGCAGAGTTAGAATACTGCTAAGAAATTTCAGGGTGTACGGCCAGCATGCTCAGTGGTTGAGCACTGACCTGTGAACCAGAAGGTCACAGTTCAAATTCCTGGTCAGGGCACAAGACTGAGCTGTAGGCTCCATCCCCAGTGTAGGGTGTGCAAGAAGCAGCCAATCAATAATTCTCATCATTGTTGTTTCTATCTCTCTCCCTCACCCTTCCTCCCTAAAATCAATAAAGAAAATATCTATATATATTTTTTTAAAAGAAATGTCAGGGAAAGAGTTCCTCCCAAGGCTATTTAAGTGCAGTGACAGTCCTAGGTTTGGAGCCCAGGGTTCCTCAGAGCATGGTTGGGACTGCCCACCTCTGCCATGCCCTCATAAGGAAGAATGTCAGGTCTTAAGGGTAAGAAGAAATGTTCACTGTATGCCTCAAATTTTTCTCAACATACAAACTTTGCTTTAAAACTGTGTGCTAATTCTCACTCAGTTCACAGAATCTTCATAGGTTTCTTCTACCCACACCTACTTTTATTTGAGCAAGAGAAAATAACACTTAGTTGTTTCCTTTAACAAGTCTCAACAAAGCCAAAGCTGGTTTAGTCATTTTCCAGGCTTTCTTTTGCAAGGTTTGTTCATCATAATGAGCCTGAGTCACTGTTTCACTAAAGATAGACAGGAAGCAAAAATAATAGAATTATTATTCTTACATATAGCTCAATAAGCAAATTAACATATCTATCTTTGTCGACATGGAACCATGTTAATGGTGCATTTTAAAAGATAAAAAATCTAATTAAGAAATAGTAAGAGCTCATTTTTGTTAAGTACATAGAAAGCTTTTGTTATGAAAGGGGCTAGCGACAGAGGAATGGCAGCATGAGCGGTCCCCTTGGTTTCTCTCCTTGAAGTATTTTTCCCCTCTTTTTAAATATGTTTTTATAGATTTTTAGAGAGAAAGCAAAGGAGATAGAGAGATAGAAACATTGATGAGAGAGAAACATCATTAACCCACTGCCTCTGCATGCCCCCTACTGGTGATCAAGCCCACAACAATTCCCTGACTGGGAATTGAACTAGTGACCTCTAGGTTCATGAGTCTATGCTCAACCACTGAGCCACAACAGCCGGGCTCCCCTTAAGGTTTCAACAATTTGAATAGCTAATAATTCAACAAATGATCCCATGCACACACACACACACACACACACACATCTGAGAGATCTGCCTATTAAAACATCTGAAGGTAGGTAAGCAGGGGTGAACTAGGGAGGTTGGAAGGGAGAAGAGCTAAGATGGTATAAGGCAGCGTTTTTCAACCGCTGTTCAGCGGCACACTAGTGTGCCGCGAGATGTTGCCTGGTGTGCCGTAGGTGCAGACAAGACAAGAATTTTATAATTTTTCACTATTTTGTTTATACTTAATATTTCATAATAAAGTAATTATAAAATACTTTCTTTGTGTTTATTTGATTCCTATTCAAGAGAATTACTTTATATATAGTCAATATAGGCACAGAGTTAAATTTTTTAACATTTTCTAATGGTGGTGTGCCTCGTGATTTTTTTCATGAAACAAGTGTGCCTTTGCCCAAAAAAGGTTGAAAAACACTGGTATAAGGGACCCAGCCCAGAGCTTGCAGCCCAGAGCTCACAGGAGGTCTCAGCCTTGAGGGAAGAAATCAAGTTACCACTGACACTCTCTTCAGCCAGTAGAAGCAGATAATGAGCATTCCCACAGCAGTGATGAGTTATGTGCTGCAGCTAAACCCAGTGACTTGGGTGGGGACAAAGCACAGAGTGAGGCCACCATTGCATGGCAATACCAGACAGAAAAACAAAGTCTCAGAGCCTGGCATACAGAGGATACTGCCGACAGTGCCAGGGTTGACCAGGTGACTGCTCTCCCCCTGCTTCCTCTAGGTCACTTGAGCCTGCCCGACTCCAGATGAACTGTGATCACTGCACATGGAAGAAATGTAGTAAAAAAATAAAAACCAAAGACCAAGGGCCCGCCTCTATGAGCTCTCAGGAGCCTCTGAGTGCTGGGCACCCCAACTATTTTAGGGGCTTCAGGTGAGTGGGGGATACAGAGGGGTCAGGAAACCTCCCTGGAGGTCAGGAGGTTGGTCTGATTGTGGATACATATGTCCCGCCATCTACCAACAGCTGCCTCCACGGAGAATGGGAGAACAAAGGGAGGGGGGTCGTTCTGCAAACTCCAGAGGGAATCCAGGGTCCCAGCTTCTTTGCCCCGCCCCATGACATTTCGGTTTCTCCCCGAATCAGAGGCACTACTTGAGGGATCATAGATGGGTGCCTCACACAGCCATCTCTCCGAGTATTCTTGTTTGTCTTTGTGAAAGTCTCTGTGTCTGTCAGGTTGTCCCCGAGCTTGCCTCCACTTCTAGAACTAAGCTTCTGGAATAGCGACAACCTGCAAACTCCCATGGCAGGATTCTTCTCCTCCCCCGTTCCCCCCACCCCCACCCCCCAGCTACACCCCTTCACCCTCTCTTCCCTATCCTGTAACTGCTGAGTACCCAGAGCAGGTTCAGCATCCTGGACCCAGACTCGCACCAGTGCCCAGCCAGGTGCCTGCCCCTGCACAGGGCTTCACTCTCTTCCCCTTGCCCAGCCTCGGTGCCCTGGGGCCTGCTGCCGGGCCTGCTGTCCGCCTCGTGCCACTGCCTGGGATGCCTTCCGACCTCGAATTCTTGGTGCCAATTGACCAGATCCTGATTCACCAGAAGGCTGCACGAGTGGAAACACTCCTAGGCTAGGAGGCAAGTAACAAGTATGAACTGTGCTCAGCGGCTGGACAGTCCCTGGGTCAGGCGGCTGAAGAGAGCAACTGTTGTGCACATCTGTACTGCAGGTGGACTCCAGGGACGGAGAGATGGAAGTACAGTCGCCAACAGGCACCATCATTGGCCATGTGCTGCAGACCTGGCATCCCTTCCTCCCCAAGTTCTCCGTTCAAGATGCCAATCTCCATATGAGCCTGCAAGTGGTGGGGCCCTGCTGGACCTGTGGCTTTGGCACAGACACCAGCTTTGAAGTGAAAACTCTGGATGAGTCCCACAGTGTGGGCTGCATCAGCAAGCAGTGGTGGCGGGTGGGGCTGCTCCAAGAGGCCCTCACAGATGCAGATGACTTTGGCTTGCAGTTCCCATTGGATCTGGATGTGAGAGTGAAGGCTGTACTGCTGGGAGCCACATTCCTCATTGACTACATGTTCTTTGAGAAGCGAGGAAGCACTGGGCCCTCTGCCATCACCAGTTAGACAGCATCTCAGGGTGAGGACCATCACCTTAGCCAGAACTCAGGATGGTCACCTGGCCTGGCCTGGTCCCTCCTCAGAAGCAGCTCCTTTCCTCCATGAACACTGCAAAGGACAGACAGAGATGCCTAAGAGGCTGGGGTCATAGTGCCCCATTCCTACCCTACTCCCCTGGCCTCCTTCACCTGTGGCCCCCACAGAAGGGTATGTATGAGTGCATTTCTCCTGCTACCTCTTACCACTGTCTCCAGCCATCCCTCCACACACAGGCATATCAGCTTTCAAACTTGCCCTACTCACTTCCTCTCACCCCTTTCCAGGGCCTCTGCTCTGGATGGAGCCTTTGGAATCCAGGCCTCTGGGGTTTTACAACAGAGTTAGGGTGAGAAAGGATAAACAGCACCAAAGATGGCTGATATGGCCACCCACCTCTGCCTCAGCTTGACCAATTAGTTTAACCTCAGAACATAGCACTCAGGGGGGATCCCTACTTCCCCAGCAATGGCTCTAGGTCCTCGGCCCCAGTGCCCATCTCCTCTCCTCCTTGGCTCTTTTCACAGCTGGTGCTTGCTACAGTTCTGTGTGACTTACTTAACCATCCCTTCCTGCTCTGTTCTTAGAAAGGAGGCTGCATCTTTGTGTGTTATATTCATATAAACTTTATAACATTTTAGGGAAAAAAGATACACACACATACACACAAAAAAAACAAACAAACAAACAAAACAAAAAAAGACCAAGAGAATGCCATGGTCAAAATCCAGAGTCTGGCTCAGGAAAACAGAGAGAAGGGAGAATTCCATAAGTTGGCCGATGCCAATATATTTCTGAGTGACTGCCTGGTGTGTGAAAGTTGTGTGACCATAGAGGAAGAAGTCCAAGTTTCTCAGCAGTGGGAAGGACCAGCAAGCAGGTGGGCAGTAAGGAGCGAGGGCTTCCGGATTGAGAGAGGAATTTCCAACTGTTGCCTTAGGCCTGTTCCCCAGGGGAATGTGCCTAATCCAGCAGGCAGTCATCCCCTGAGGCATCCCAGACTGTAAGAGGGTGCAGGCATGAATTTTGTGCTCTGGGCCTCTAGTAGAAGAAATAAAAGATGAGATCAAAAGTATATAGAGACAAATGATAATAACAATAATACATATTAAAACTTTTGCAATGCAGCAACAGCAGTAATACCAAGAAAATTTATATCATTACAGGCCTACTGGCAGAACAAGAAATATCACAAGTAAACAACCTAAAATTATATCTTAACAAACTAGAAAAAAAAAGAATAAAAGCAGCCCAAAGTCAGCAGAAGAAAGGAAATAAGAAAAATTAGAGCAAATTTAAGTAAAATAAAAAACAAAATGACTATACAAAAAGTGAAAGCCACAAAGAGTTGGTTCTCAGAAAATATTAATAAACTTGACAAACCTCTGGCTAGACTAAGGAAAAGGAGAAAAACTCAAATAAAAAATCAGAAATGTAAGAGACATTACCTCAGACATTACAGAAATACAAAGGCTTATACAAGAATATTATGCAAGACTCTATTGCACCAAATTCAACAACCTAGAGAAATTATTACAATTATTTATGTTCTACCCACCTCAGAATGGCAGCTTTGTCTTCCAACTGGCTTTCCTCATCTGGATAAAATAGCTCCGACATCCACACATACACATTTCCCTACTTGGGAGATAGTAGACTGTCCAGGTACTAGAAACCCCACTAAAAGTCCCTGCAGTCCCTCTGAGTGGACTAGGTTAAGTCAAATGTCCACTTCATTCTCATTACTGTGATAGGAGGAATGAAGTGCACTGCTTGGCTTAGTGTAAATTATTGTATTAGGTATCTACTGCAGTAGGACAGAATATCCAATACTTAGTAGCTTAAAACAACAAACATTTCTTTCTAGGAGTCAGGAACTCAGGGGAAGATTGGTTGATTGCTTCTGATTCAGGATCGCATATGATCTTGGCTGCTGTCATCTCCTCTGAAGGCATGGCTCAGAGAGGATCTGCTGCTCCATTGTTGTTGGCAGGTTCCAATTCCTCACTGGTTACTGACTTATCGATACTATTTCAGATCTTCATTATAAGGGCCTCTCCTGAGTTTCCTCATGACATGGCAGCTGGCTTCTCACAGACTAAGTAGTCAGAGACAGCCTAAGAGAGTGCACGCTTCCACACTGGGTCACCCAATCTCAGAAATAATATACCATCAATTCTGCCAAATACTATTGGTTAGGAAGACCAATGCCAGAAAAATGTGGATGGGGATTATGCAAGGTGTGAATAACAGGAAGGGAGAGATTATTGGGGGCTATTTTGGATGTTGATCACCACAGCCATGTACACCACTCTGCAGCCAGAACTAGTATCAGCTTCCCTAATACCTCAGGGGGAATTCCACATAATTTATTCCACAGTGTTCCCATGCAAAACTAAAAATCTCATGAGTTATAACGAGTTCCACAATAAAGTAGGCTCTAAGGCCAGAAAAATTCAGGCAACAAAACAAAACTAGCAGATTTATATTTAGATATAAATCACTTTCAAAACAAAACATTCTGTAGTCTTGCTTTCTGTGGAATGCTCTTTGGCAAATGATTAATTGGACATTTGGAGAAAATGTTCACCTTGATCATCTAACCCTAATATATACTCCTTGCTTAGCCAACAAGCTTGTATTTAATGTCACCATTGGAGAAATTAATGCTAGAGCATTAGTTTTGAATCTCTAGCTCACAGATCAAATTCACTATTCAATAGGTTCCCTCTAGTGGGTAAGTAAATTCTTAAGGGAAGATAATTTATACCAATAATTTTAAATGTTAAGCATCATCAACTTTCCTGGAAGTACTGATATAATATATTGTCTTGTTTTTATCACACAATACAGTTTTACTGTGCACTTCTATATACATAATCAAATACAAACCTTTGTAGTTATCAGGACAGAAAGTATTGTCCTGTCATGAAATAAAGAAGTAAGAAACCTTTTCTTTCAGAACGACAAATGAATCTCCTGGGGACCCAGAGTAGAAAATTATCTAATGTGAACCTCAAGAAGGAATTTATCTATTGAGATGGACTCAGGCTCCTTTGGTTAACTGAGCCTAAATGCCAATTCAGAGTCTTGCAGCAGGTCACTGACAGGGGCCTCTTAAATAGCCCATTATGCTGGGAAGAACCACAAGCTGAACTGTGTTTCTCACACTATGGCCTGCCTGCTTGGCTACAGTTAAGTTCCTTGTATCTCCATACAGTCATTCAACCAATAGATTGTGACCCACTCTGACCAAAATGTACCTTTATTTCCTTTTATAACAACCAATCCAAACTGCACAACTTGAAAACTTCATTTTACTAACTAATATGGAAACTATGGATAGAAAGTTTTCCCTATAAAATGGCATCTCCTTTGTCTCAGCAGAGCTACTTTTGGTTTCTGCATAAGTCTGTTTATTCCTGATTCCAAACTGTTATTCTGAATAAAATCTCTCCTTTTTCACTTCAGGACCTTTTGATGATTTCATTCATACTCCCTACTTAAAAGGAAGCAAGATATGAAAAATAGTCTTCACTAAAGATAAGAAGCATTTTAAATAACTTATGGTTTCAAGTTTTATGTTCAACTAATAATGTCGAATATTTATATTGGTCTTATTCCTTGAATACTGCCACATCTTGACCTGGAGCAATTTTAAGGCCTTTGCAATCCTCAGATAATCTTATTTTTGGAGGCCTCAACTCATAGTATATCAGATATAATGGAAGCCGTGGCATGTTGCAAACCCCCTTAAGACATAGATACTCACTGCCCCAAGCTTTCTGGAAATGTTGGATTCTGGTGGATCACAGTTGAGACACTGTTACAGGTGTTGCTCTAAGTTAAATAGAGCTTTCCATTCAAGAATACACTCCCTTCTAGGAAGAAGCCCATATCTCAGGATGTGGGGGACAAATTCATGGTCTCCTCAATTTGGGACAGTTGTAGAGGTTTATCCCAAATCAAGAGCTTTCTGTAGGATTTGCCAAATCCTCATTGCAACTGCATTATAGTTCAACTTCTCCTTCTATCCAATCCCCCCCCCCCCCGCACCCTCTTACAGATTTGTTCCAAAGAGTGTGTCTTAGTAAATCTGCCCCAAAGTCTCCATCTCTTTATGAGAATTTTTTAGACTCATTTCCTTAAACTAGATATCTGTACTTTGGGCATATATACTTATCTTGCAAAGATTCTTTACTTTGTGTCTACTTCACCTTAAATACTGTAATCAGTTTCTTCTTTGCTTCACAATTTAAAGACCAGGATCAGCCATACCTCAATCAGAGTTCATTCCATCTCAACACAGGCAGCCAAGTCCAGTTAAGAATCCCAGACTGTTATACCTCAGAAGGAAGGTGGGGGAGAGTGGGTGGATGCTAAGACATCAACCAAAGAACTTGTATACATATATGCATGACCCTTGGACACAGACAATAGGGTGGGCTGGAAGAGGTCAATGGGGGGGGGGGGGAGGAGGACATATGTAACACTTTCAACAATAAAGATTTTTTTAAAATGAACCCCAGCCTTTGTCAGAGTCTCACCAGCTTAGCCAACAGGATTATAATAATACTTTATAGCATCAAAACTCAAGCATATAGTTTTCTTTCAGTTCCTGGACCCAGTTCAAACATGTGTGGAGGCTTCACCACGCCAACAAGTAATTCTAGGACACCATCAGGGTTTCCAATAATTCAACCCAATTCTGACAATATCCACTCAAAGAAAGCATCAGATTCCACAAGTAAAGGAATAGCATCTAGTTCCATAATACCACTCTCCACTTCACTCACTAATTGCAAGCCCAAGTTGTTACCTGTGCTCCTGACCAACTGGCTATAAATCCTAGGGATTTGATTAATTTGCTAGAAAGGCTTACAGAACCTAGGAAACCCGTTTACTCACTAGATTACTGATCTATTACAAAGGAGATTAAAGGTATAAATAAACAGGCAGATAAAGAGAGAGATAGAGTAAAGCACCAAACTAAGGAGCTTATGTTCTGTGGAGCCTGGGACCCAGCACTGTAGCATATAGAATTATTTGGTTGCCCAACATGGAAGTTCTCTAAACCCTTTCCTTTGGGGTTTTTATGGAGA